CTATCTTCTACTACGCATTTGGCTTCCGACATGCAACATGTGGCCTGCTGTCATAGTGATACGTACAGCATTGGTCTTCCTACCTATAAGATCTGTGCTGGTGCAAGAAACCAGGTCCTTCCGCGATAACAACGGAACCATGTTGGATGCGCTAGCAGTAGTACGACATAAGCAGGCGTGTTACTATTTTTCAAGCAGCGTCACTCGATCATTTTTTTGACAAAATGATTGGGGTGAACGGCTCTTCAGTCTGAGTGAACAGACTTCAGGAAACTGGCGGCGGTCTTCCACTTGCCAGTCCACAGGAAAGCATGGCTGGCACTCTCCTGGTTCAGGTTACATTACACAGCCAAACACCGTTGTACCCTTGAAGGCTGGCGGATTCTTCAAACATACGGAGGGAAGCACGCCAATGAATCGTCCAGCTTGTACCGAGCGTCTTTTATCTTCTGCAAAGTCGGCGCATCGTAGGCTCTTTCGCCTCTCTTACAGCAGCCTCCATTCCATTGACTTTAAACTAGCAGAATGACCGACCTAAAACCGTGCAAAAGGACTGAGCTATATACTAGTAGCACGCAAAAAGAGCGCACCACGATCGGCATATCCTTGCATCGAATTTTCATCTCGGCCAGCTTACACGCATGTGCTGACCGCCTACACGTATGCGGTCTGATACCATGTATCACCACTAGTAGCTCATAGCGACTGTTGCATCTACAACGTCCGTCCGAATGTTCGGATGAAAAGGCGCTGGAAATGCGAGCCGAGTCGCTTTCGAACAATTTGAATCAGCTGCTTCAGCTTCGAGTGTACGAGATGATGTGTAAAAGAAGCTGAATGTGATTGAATAGGTTAAATCTACGCTACTAGACAGTAAATCTAAGGGCTTAGCCCCGTGGTTCTGGAGCGTGCTGACCGTCATAACGAGAAGTCATACCGAAAGGTCAAGTATAGAATTGTCATTTGATGCTCTGTCTGTCACCGAGCGAAAAGCCTGTATTGTCATGATGTCGCATCTCAACGTGCGTTGTTTGAGTGTCTTTGTATCTCTTACTGTTGTCACAGTTGGTCATTTTACACTTGATTAACTATGTACAAGATTAGTGCCATTGTCGCTCGACTTGGCAGCATATACACCTGCGGCGCCCCATCCTTTCCAAGTGTACACACTCGATGGGATCCGTCCGCACGTGATCCGTTCGCACTGAAGTCCTGCAGCCTCCAAGGTCCGGTCCATGTGTTTGTTCAGGTGGTGAGAATATGAAGAGTCCACAACTACACAGCCGTCCGTATGATCGATTGCGCGAGGTGAGACGATTCACGCTCGTTCCGCTTAGCTTCTGCCCGAGTCTGAACAGTACGTTCGTCGATGGCCGCAACAATGAGTGTATTCGGATGTTGACCGTGTTGATAAAACCGCAGGGGCGGGGGCGATACGCCGCCGATCGGTCAAGGGGCGTGAGTAGCAAGGAAGACGTATGTATGACCAGATCACACAAACATCTGTCGAGCAAGTTGCAAGTCAAGTAGCTCCAAGTCTTGCATAGCGGTCCGCGAGCCCCACCACAGACTGCTCATTCTCGCATTTACCGCCTTGCGCTTCTGTTGTACTCGAGCCAAGTTCCCCATCTCAAGCTTTTTCTTTCCTCTGTTGACTCGGCCGAGCTTCCTCTGCATCTAAAACCCCCAACCATGTTCAGCAGCACCAAGATCTTCGCTTTGTACGCTGTCGCTATGGCCGTTTCCAACCGTGGCGCACATGCTGAAAAAGCAGTCGCCGAGACGTTTGGACTACTCGGTGGTCACGGTGTGGGTGTAGCCGTCCCGGGTGTTGCAAGCGTCGGTGTCGCAGCTCCCGGCTACGTAGGCGTAAATGGCCTTGGTGTTGGTGTCGGCTTGAATGGCCCCGGTGTCGGTGTCGGCTTAAATGGCCCCGGTGTCGGTGTCGGCTTAAACGGCGTTGGCCTCCGTGTCGGCCATAGCGGATACCCTGATGGTGTCGGTTTGAACAGCGCTGGTGCTGACATCGGCGTTGATGCTGACGTTGGCATCGGTGCTGACGTTGGCGTCGGCGGGTATCCCGGTGGTGTCGTGTATCCGGGCACCGTCGATGTGACTGGCAACCCTTCAGTCGGCGCTCATGATGTCAACGTGAAGACCGGCGGGGGCAACGGCGGCTCGAGCGAGACTGTGACTGTGACGAACGGCGATGGCACCAGTACCGGAACGGCCTCCACTGGCACGGGTGCAGGTGGCGCATCGACGAGTGCTTCTGCGAGCGCTTCTGCATCTGCTACTGCCAGTGCAACTGCTGGGGCCAAGACTGGGACAAGCGACACTTCTCAGAAAGTGTACCGCAAGCTTCGCTTGGAGAAGTGAACGGGTTCGGTGGATCCGGACAAATTGTAGAGTTCGACGGAAGCAAGATGGAGCTGCTCGGTCATTTGCTGCACTCCGGTGGTTCTCCAAGATCCTAGAAGGTGCTATATGTAGTAACGTAACATCGTTCGTGAGTAGAAAAAAAGTCGTTCCCAAACACAAATGCTCTTTTCAAACAAACATACCAGGTGTTGCTTGGCGATGGATCTGTTCATAGCTCGTGATCTGCCCTCTGATGCATCCTTTGATCTACCGCCTGATGCGTCCTTTGACTCAGGAAGTCTGTGCTGTCTTCTCCATCTACGGTTCTTCTCGACAACTGCAAATGAGCATCCGGCCATTCATAGACCAACTGTCAAATAGTCACGAAGTGCAAGAAAACATGGGCGTCTCCATTTTCGATGCAACAGTACAGAGCTCTGGTCTCTGCAACCAACACTCCTTCTCGCAATCATTGGAGCTGCTGCAGGTGTGTGTGTGTCGAACTGGAACTGAGCCCTATCACAGGGCCAGCAACAGATATCATGGATGAAGCTCGTTCAACGTTGAACTGTCTACTGCTCTGACATCTACGCACCACTTGATAGAGTAAAACGCATAGTGCAAAACGAGTTCACGTCACCCCTTGACAAAACCCATTCCAACGATGTCTGCAAGGTTGCCTTTGGTCATCAACAAGATTAAACCACGGTGAATGGCATGAACGTGGTAATGCGGCTGAAGCTCGCAACAAGTTGTGTGTTGTATGGACGTATTTTCTTGAGATAGGGTCTGGTTGTGTCCGAGTAGAAAAGCAGCTTTCACCCCCGAACATGATGACAAAAAGTAATGCTTCTGGGGTAATGCACTGTCACGGCTGTCTTCATGCATCGATCTATCGGATGTATATCGGTTCCGGGTTTACGCCAAAAATACATGGATGCGTTACAGCGGTTGTAAGGCATGAGTGCAACGATGGCCTCAATAAGCGAGTGCACTGCGTTCTTTGAGGTAATGAAAGGTGAAGCACAAGGCTCAACATTCGCAGCTCAAGATTGTTTTCGCTGACAATTGTTTCGGTGTCAACATTTGTCATCAGCTGTTTTCGACCGCACGTTTACAATGGCGCAAGTAGAATCACCTGTGTGTGCTGAGCGTTTTCAGACATACAATGACACTAGTTCGCCAACCTTCCTATACATCGACCAAGAATCGACTACGTTGCACACACGTTCATTCAGTGCCGGAACGCATCGTAAAAGAGGAGGTTTCCGTGTCACCGTACTTGTTTTGTTGTTTTCACTCGGCTGAATGATGCAGTGGAACGATTTCGAGAGCCTCGATGACCAAGACGAGCGCAGATCTCAGCTCTAGGGGTGTGCACTATTTACTTCAAGAACCGCCGTGGGGTGATGATCCTATCTTCTACTACGCATTTGGCTTCCGAAATGCAACATGTGGCCTGCTGTCATAGTGATACGTACAGCATTGGTCTTCCTACCTACAAGATCTGTGCTGGTGCAAGAAACCAGGTCCTTCCGTGATAACAACGGAACCATGTTGGATGCGCTAGCAGTAGTACGAGATAAGCAGGCGTGTTACTATGTTTCAAGCAGCGTCACTCGATCATTTTTTGACAAAATGATTGGGGTGAACGGCTCTTCAGTCTGAGTGAACAGACTTCAGGAAACTGGCGGCGGTCTTCCACTTGCCAGTCCACAGGAAAGCATGGCTGGCACTCTCCTGGTTCAGGTTACGTAACACAGCCAAACACCGTTGTACCCTTGAAGGCTGGCGGATTCTTCAAACATACGGAGGGAACCACGCCAATGAATCGTCCAGCTTGTACCGAGCGTCTTTTATCTTCTGCAAAGTCGGCGCATCGTAGGCTCTTTCGCCTCTCTTACAGCAGCCTCCATTCCATTGACTTTAAACTAGCAGAATGACCGACCTAAAACCGTGCAAAAGGACTGAGCTATATACTAGTAGCACGCAAAAAGAGCGCACCACGATCGACATATCCTTGCATCGAATTTTCATCTCGGCCAGCTTACACGCATGTGCTGACCGCCTACACGTATGTGGTCTGATACCATGTATCACCACTAGTAGCTCATAGCGACTGTTGCACCTACAACGTCCGGCCGAATGTTCGGATGAAAAGGCGCTGGAAATGCGAGCCGAGTCGCTTTCGAACAATTTGAATCAGCTGCTTCAGCTTCGAGTGTACGAGACCATGTGTAAAAGAAGCTACAGAACGGACCGTCATAACGAGAAGTCATACCAAAAGGTCAAGTAGTATTGGCCGAACACAACAATGAGTGTATTCGGATGTTGACCGTGTTGATAAACAAACCGCAGGGGGCGGGGGCGATACGCCGCCGATCGGTCAAGGGGGAGTAGAAGTGAGTAGCAAGGAAGAGTTATGGAGCATGGGAACATATGTCGATAAAATCTGTCGCAAGTTGCAAGTCAAGTAGCTCCAAGTCTTGCATAGCGGTCCGCGAGCCCCACCACAGACTGCTCATTCTCGCATTTACCGCCTTACGCTTCTGTTGTACTCGAGCCAAGTTCCCCATCTCAAGCTCTTTCTTTCCTCTGTTGACTCGGCCGAGCTTCCTCTGCATCTGAAACCCCCAACCATGTTCAGCAGCACCAAGATCTTCGCTTTGTACGCTGTCGCTATGGCCGTTTCTAACCGTGGCGCACATGCTGAAAAAGCAGTCGCCGAGACGTTTGGACTACTCGGTGGTCACGGTGTGGGTGTAGCCGTCCCGGGTGTTGCAAGCGTCGGTGTCGCAGGTTACGTAGGAGTGAATGGCCTTGGTGTTGGTGTCGGCTGAATGGCCCCGGTGTCGGTGTCGGCTTAAATGGCCCCGGTGTCGGTGTCGGCTTAAACGGCGTTGGCCTCCGTGTCGGCCATGGCGGATACCCCGATGGTGTCGGTTTGAACAGCGCTGGTGCTGACATCGGCGTCGGTACGGACGTTGGCATCGGTGCTGACGTTGGCGTCGGCGGGTATCCCGGTGGTGTCGTGTATCCGGGCACCGTCGATGTGACTGGCAACCCTTCAGTCGGCGCTCATGATGTCAACGTGAAGACCGGCGGGGGCAACGGCGGCTCGAGCGAGACTGTGACTGTGACGTACGGCGATGGCACCAGTACCGGAACGGCCTCCACTAGCACGGGTGCAGGTGGCGCATCGACGAGTGCTTCTGCGAGCGCTTCTGCATCTGCTACTGCCAGTGCAACTGCTGGGGCCAAGACTGGGACAAGCGACACTTCTCAGAAAGTGTACCGCAAGCTTCGCTTGGAGAAGTGGAACGGGTTCGGTGGATCCGGACAAATTGTAGAGTTCGACGGAAGCAAGATGGAGCTGCTCGGTCATTTGCTGCACTCGGTGGTTCTCCAAGATCCTAGAAGGTGCTATATGTAGTAACGTAACATCGTTCGTGAGTATAAAAAGTCGTTCCCAAACACAAATGCTCTTTTCAAACAAACATACCAGGTGTTGCTTGGCGATGGATCTGTTCATAGCTCGTGATCTGCCCTCTGATGCATCCTTTGATCTACCGCCTGATGCGTCCTTTGGCTCAGGAAGTCTGCGCTGTCTTCTCCATCTACGGTTCTTCTCGACAACTGCAAATGAGCATCCGGCCATTCATAGACCAACTGTCAAATAGTCACGACGTGCAAGAAAACATGGGTGTCTCCATTTTCGATGCAACAGTACAGAGCTCAACGGCGGTCGAGCGAGATCCGTGACTGTGACGACGGCGTACCAGTACCGGAACGGCCTCCACTAGCACGGGTGCAGGTGGCGATCGACGAGTGCTTCTGCGAGCGCTTCTGCAACTGCTACTGCCAGTGCAACTGCTAAAGCAAGACCGGGACAAGCGACACTTCTCAGAAAAACTGCGTTTCGCTTGAGAAGTGAACGGGTTCGGTGGATCCACGCCAAATTGTAGAGTCTGGACGGAAGCAAGATGGAGCTGCCTGGTCATTTGTTGCACCCGTTATTATTCTCCAAGATCCTAGAAGGTGCTATATGTAGTAACGTAACATCGTTCGTGAGTATAAAAAGTCGTTCCCAAACACAAATGCTCTTTTCAAAACAAAATACCAGGTGTTGCTTGGCGATGGATCTGTTCATAGCTCGTGATCTGGCCCTCTGATGCAATCCTTTGATCTACCACCTGATGCGTCCTTTGACTCAGGAAGTCTGTGCTGTCTTCTCCATCTACGGTTCTTCTCGACAACTGCAAATGAGCATCCGGCCATTCATATAGACCAATCTCCGTCAAATAGTCACGAAGTGCAAGAAAACATGGGTGTCTCCATTTTCGATGCAATGTAGTACAGAGCTCTGTCTCGGTAACCAACACCTCTTCCAATCATTGAGCTGCTGCAGGTGTGTGTGTGTGTCGAAATGGAACTGAGCCCTATCACAGGCCAGCAACAGATATCATGGATGAAGCTCGTTCAACGCTGAAGTGTCTACTGCTCTGACATCTACACACCACTTGGATATAAAACGCATAAAGTGCAAAACGAGTTCGTCACCCCTTGACAAAACCGTTCCAACGATGTCTGCAAGGCTGCCTTTGGTCATCAACAAGATTAAACCACGGTGAATGGCACGAACGTGGTAATGCGGCTGAAGCTCGCAACAAGTTGTGTGTTGTATGGACGTATTTTCTCAGAGGATAGGGTCTGCTGTGTCCGAGAGAAAGCAGCTTTCAATTCCTTGAACATGATGACAAAAAGTAATGCTTCTGGGGTAAATGCACTGTCACGGCTGTCTTCATGCATCGACTACTCTGATGTATATCGTTCCGGGTTTACGCCAAAATACATGGATGCGTTACAGCGGTTGTAAGGCATGAGTGCAACGATGACCCTCAATAAGCGAGTGCACTGCGTTCTTTGAGGCAATGAAAGGTGAAGTTAATAAGGCTCAAACATTCGGCAGCTCAAGAACGTTTCGCTGACAATTGTTTCGGTGTCAACATTTGCTCATCAGCTGTTTCGACCGCACGTTTACAACGGCGCAAGTAGAATCACCTGTGTGTGCTGAGTTGCCGGTATTATTACAATGACACTAGTTCGCCAACCTTCCTATACATCGACCAAGAATCGACTACGTTGCACACACGTTCATTCAGTGCCGGGAACCAGTACCGTAAAAGAGGAGGTTTCCGTGTCACCGTACTTGTTTTGTTGTTTTCACTGACCGGATGATGCAGTGGAACAATTTCGTGAGCCTGATGACCAAGACGAGCGCAGATCTCAGCTCTAGCGGTGTGCACATTTACTTTGAGAACCGCCGTGGGGTGATGGTCCTATCTTCTACTACGCATTTGGCTTCTCACATGTGCAACATGTGGCCTGCTATCATAGTGTGATACGTACAGTACGTCTTCCTACCCCATAAGATCTGTGCTGGTGCAAGAAAACCAGGTCCTTCCGGCGATAACAACGGAACCATGCTGGATCGCTAGCAGTAGTACGAGATAAGCAGGCGTGTTACTATGTTTCAGCATGTCACTCGATCATTTTCTTTTGACAAAATGATTGGGGTGAATCGCTCTTCTCAGCCCCTGAGTGAACGGCACTTGCAAAACTGGCGGCGCTCTCCACTTCGCCAGTCCACAGGAAAGCATGGCTGGCACTCTCCTGGTTCAGGTTACATTACACAGCCAAACACCGTTGCACCCCTTTGAAGGCTGGCGGATTCTTCAAACATACGGAGGGAAGCACGCCAATTGAACCGTCCAGCTTGTACCGAGCGTCTTTTATCTTTCTGCAAAGTCGAGGCATCGTGTGGCTCTCTTTCGCCTCTCTTACAGCAGCCTCCATTCCATTGGACTTTAAACTAGCAGAATGACCGGGACCTAAAACCGTGCAAAGGACTGAGAGCTTATCTACTAGTAGCACGCAAAAAGAGCGCAACAATGATCGGCATATCCTTCTGCATCGAATTCTTCATCTCAGCCAGCTTATTACCGCATGTGCTGACCACCTACATCGTATGTGGTCTGATACCATGTATCACCACTAGTAGCTCATAGCGACTGTTGCATCTACAACGTCCGTCCGAATGTTCGGATGAAAAGGCGCTGGAAATGCGAGCCGAGTCGCTTTCGAACAATTTGATCTCAGCTGGCTTCAGTTTCGATGCATGAGATGATGTGTAAAGAAGCTGAATGTGATTGAATAGGTTAACTGCCGCCGCCACTAGACAGTAAATCTAAGGGCTTAGTCTCGTGGTTGAGCGTGCTGACCGTCATAACGAGAAGTCATAAATTAGGTCAAAGTATAATTTGTCATTTGATGCTCTGTCTGTCACCGAGCGAAAAGCCTGTATTGTCATGATGTCGCATCTCAACGTGCGTTGTTTGAGTGTCTTTGCATTCTTACCGTTGTCACAGTTGGTCATTTTTGCACTTGATTAACGTGTACAAGATTAGTGCCATTGTCGCTCGACTGGCAGCATAAGGGCTGGCTGCGGCGCCCCATCCTTCCGCGTACACACCGATGGGATCCGTCCGCACGTGATCCGTTCGCACCGAAGTCCTGCAGCCTCCAAGGTCCGTCCATGTGTTTGTTCAGGTGGTGAGAATATGAAGAGTCCACAACTACACAGCCGTCCGTATGATCGATTGCGCGAGGTGAGACGATTCACGCTCGTTCCGGCTTTAGCCGCCCGAGTTCCGAATGAAAAGTACGTTCGTCGATGGCCGCAAAATAATGAGTGTGGTTCGACGTTGACCGTGTTGATAAAACCGCAGGGCGTGGGGCGAAGGCCGCCGCCGGATCGGTCAAGGGGCGTGAGGCAAGGAAGACGGGTGTATGACCAGGATCACACAAAACATCTGTCGAGCAAGTTGCAAGTCAAGTAGCTCCAAGTCTTGCATAGCGGTCCGCGAGCCCCACCACAGACTGCTCATCTTCTCGATTTACCGCCTTGCGCTTGCTGTACTGAGCTTGCCCCCATCTCAAGCTTTTTTCTTTCCTCTGTTGACTCGGCTGAGCTTCCTCTGCATCTAAACCCCAACCATGCTCCAAAGCAAAGTACACATTCCTGCTTTGTACGCTGTCGCTATGGCCGTTTCAACCGTGGCGCACATGCTTGAAAGCGCCGAGACGTTTGACTACCTGGTGGTCACGGTAAGGGGGTGTAGCTGTCCCGGGGTGTTGTAAGCGTCGGTGTCGCAGCTCCCGGCTACGTAGGCGTAATGGTCTTTGGTGTTGGTATGGCTTGAATGGCCCCGGTGTCGGTGTGCTCTAGCTTAAATGGCCTCAGTGTCGGGTGTCGGCTTAAACGGCGCTGGCCTCCGTGCCGTATTACAGCGATACCCTTGGATGGTGTCGGTTTGAACTGGCGCCTGGTTGCTGACATCGGCGTTGATGCTGACGTTGGCATCAGTGCTGACGTTGGCGTCGGCGGGTATCCAGTGAGTGTCGTGCCTCCGGGCGCAATCGATGTGACTGGCAGCCCTTCAGTCGAAGCTCATGATGTCAACGAGCAGAGATGGCGGGGGGAGGCAGCTGGCAGCTCGAGCAGGACTGTGACGATATGACAGACAGCGATGCTTCACCAGTACCGGAAAGACTTCTCACTGGCTTTTGAGGTGCAGGTGGCGCATCGACGAGTGCTTCTACGAGCGCTTCTGCATCTGCTACTGCCCCGGTGCAGCTGCTGGAGACCAAGACTGGGACAAAGCGACAGCGCTTCTCAGAACGTGTACCGCAAGCTTCGCTTGGAGAAGTGGAACAGGTTCGGTGGATCCGGACAAATTCTGTAGAGTTCAAGACAGAAGCAAGATGGAGCTGCTCATTCATTTGCTGCCTCCGTTAGTTCTCCAAGATCCTAGGAAGGGTGCTATTGTATAGTAACGTAACACAGCTGTTCGTGAGTAGAAAAAAAGAGTCGTTTTCCCAAAACACAAGTGCTCTTTTCGAAATAAGCCCTTTACCAGGTGCTTTTGGAAGTATTTTTGATCTGTTCCGATAGCTCCGTGATCTGCCCCCCTCTGATGCATCCCTTTGATCTACTACCTGATGCGTCCTTGACTCCCAGGAAGTCTGATTGGCTGTCTTACTCCTCGGCACAGAGGTTCTTCTCGACAACTGCAAATGAGCATCCGGCCATTCATAGACCAACTGTGTAAATTAGTCACGAAGAGCACAAAAACATGAATACTCCCTTTCGGATGCAACAGTACAGAGCTCTGGTCTCTTTTACTTCACTACTCCCTTCCTGCATATTTGGGAAGCTACTTTGGGAAATGTGCAGGTGTTGTTGGTCGAACTGGAACTGAGCCTTATGCAAGGGACAGTAACAGATATCGCATGGATGAAGCTCGTTCAATCCGTTGGACTGTCTACTACTATGACATCTACACCACTTTGGTAGAGAGTAAAAACGGTAGCAAAACGAGTTCACGTCACCCCTTGACAAACCCATTCCAAGGCTATATCTGGTAAGGGTTGCCTTTGGTCATCATCAAGATTAAACCACGGTGAACGGCATGAACAAATTGGCCGTAATGCGAGCTGAAGCCTGCAAACAAGCTGTGTTTTGTTGGTTATTTGGCATTTCTTGAGATAGGGGTCTGGTTGTGTCCGGAGAAAAGCAGCTTTCCACCCCGAACATGATGAAAAAGTAATGCTTCTGGGGTAATGCACTGTCACGGCTGTCTTCATGCATCGATCTATCGGATGTATATCGGTTCCGGGTTTACGCCAAAAATACATGGATGCGTTACAGCGGTTGTAAAGGGCATGAGTGCAACGATGGCCTCAATAAGCGAGTGCACTGCGTTCTTTGAGGTAATGAAAGGTGAAGCACAAGGCTCAACATTCGCAGCTCAAGATTGTTTTCGCTGACAATTGTTTCGGTGTCAACATTTGTCATCAGCTGTTTTCGACCGCACGTTTACAATGGCGCAAGTAGAATCACCTGTGTGTGCTGAGCGTTTTCAGACATACAATGACACTAGTTCGCCAACCTTCCTATACATCGACCAAGAATCGACTACGTTGCACACACGTTCATTCAGTGCCGGAACGCATCGTAAAAGAGGAGGTTTCCGTGTCACCGTACTTGTTTTGTTGTTTTCACTCGACTGAATGATGCAGTGGAACGATTTCGAGAGCCTCGATGACCAAGACGAGCGCAGATCTCAGCTCTAGGGGTGTGCACTATTTACTTCAAGAACCGCCGTGGGGTGATGATCCTATCTTCTACTACGCATTTGGCTTCCGAAATGCAACATGTGGCCTGCTGTCATAGTGATACGTACAGCATTGGTCTTCCTACCTACAAGATCTGTGCTGGTGCAAGAAACCAGGTCCTTCCGTGATAACAACGGAACCATGTTGGATGCGCTAGCAGTAGTACGAGATAAGCAGGCGTGTTACTATGTTTCAAGCAGCGTCACTCGATCATTTTTTTGACAAAATGATTGGGGTGAACGGCTCTTCAGTCTGAGTGAACAGACTTCAGGAAACTGGCGGCGGTCTTCCACTTGCCAGTCCACAGGAAAGCATGGCTGGCACTCTCCTGGTTCAGGTTACGTAACACAGCCAAACACCGTTGTACCCTTGAAGGCTGGCGGATTCTTCAAACATACGGAGGGAACCACGCCAATGAATCGTCCAGCTTGTACCGAGCGTCTTTTATCTTCTGCAAAGTCGGCGCATCGTAGGCTCTTTTCGCCTCTCTTACAGCAGCCTCCATTCCATTGACTTTAAACTAGCAGAATGACCGACCTAAAACCGTGCAAAAGGACTGAGCTATATACTAGTAGCACGCAAAAAGAGCGCACCACGATCGACATATCCTTGCATCGAATTTTCATCTCGGCCAGCTTACACGCATGTGCTGACCGCCTACACGTATGTGGTCTGATACCATGTATCACCACTAGTAGCTCATAGCGACTGTTGCACCTACAACGTCCGGCCGAATGTTCGGATGAAAAGGCGCTGGAAATGCGAGCCGAGTCGCTTTCGAACAATTTGAATCAGCTGCTTCAGCTTCGAGTGTACGAGACCATGTGTAAAAGAAGCTACAGAACGGACCGTCATAACGAGAAGTCATACCAAAAGGTCAAGTATGGCCGAAACAATGAGTGTATTCGGATGTTGACCGTGTTGATAAAACCGCAGGGGCGGGGGCGATACGCCGCCGATCGGTCAAGGGGCGTGAGTAGCAAGGAAGACGTATGTATGACCAGATCACACAAACATCTGTCGAGCAAGTTGCAAGTCAAGTAGCTCCAAGTCTTGCATAGCGGTCCGCGAGCCCCACCACAGACTGCTCATTCTCGCATTTACCGCCTTACGCTTCTGTTGTACTCGAGCCAAGTTCCCCATCTCAAGCTCTTTCTTTCCTCTGTTGACTCGGCCGAGCTTCCTCTGCATCTGAAACCCCCAACCATGTTCAGCAGCACCAAGATCTTCGCTTTGTACGCTGTCGCTATGGCCGTTTCTAACCGTGGCGCACATGCTGAAAAAGCAGTCGCCGAGACGTTTGGACTACTCGGTGGTCACGGTGTGGGTGTAGCCGTCCCGGGTGTTGCAAGCGTCGGTGTCGCAGGTTACGTAGGAGTGAATGGCCTTGGTGTTGGTGTCGGCTTGAAAGGCCCCGGTGTCGGTGTCGGCTTAAATGGCCCCGGTGTCGGTGTCGGCTTAAACGGCGTTGGCCTCCGTGTCGGCCATGGCGGATACCCCGATGGTGTCGGTTTGAACAGCGCTGGTGCTGACATCGGCGTCGGTACGGACGTTGGCATCGGTGCTGACGTTGGCGTCGGCGGGTATCCCGGTGGTGTCGTGTATCCGGGCACCGTCGATGTGACTGGCAACCCTTCAGTCGGCGCTCATGATGTCAACGTGAAGACCGGCGGGGGCAACGGCGGCTCGAGCGAGACTGTGACTGTGACGTACGGCGATGGCACCAGTACCGGAACGGCCTCCACTAGCACGGGTGCAGGTGGCGCATCGACGAGTGCTTCTGCGAGCGCTTCTGCATCTGCTACTGCAAGTGCAACTGCTGGGGCCAAGACTGGGACAAGCGACACTTCTCAGAAAGTGTACCGCAAGCTTCGCTTGGAGAAGTGAACGGGTTCGGTGGATCCGGACAAATTGTAGAGTTCGACGGAAGCAAGATGGAGCTGCTCGGTCATTTGCTGCACTCCGGTGGTTCTCCAAGATCCTAGAAGGTGCTATATGTAGTAACGTAACATCGTTCGTGAGTATAAAAAAGTCGTTCCCAAACACAAATGCTCTTTTCAAACAAAAATACCAGGTGTTGCTTGGCGATGGATCTGTTCATAGCTCGTGATCTGCCCTCTGATGCATCCTTTGATCTACCGCCTGATGCGTCCCTTTGACTCAGGAAGTCTGTGCTGTCTTCTCCATCTACGGTTCTTCTCGACAACTGCAAATGAGCATCCGGCCATTCATAGACCAACTGTCAAATAGTCACGACGTGCAAGAAAACATGGGCGTCTCCATTTTCGATGCAACAGTACAGAGCTCTGGTCTCTGCAACCAACACTCCTTCTCGCAATCATTGGAGCTGCTGCAGGTGTGTGTGTGTCGAAATGGAACTGAGCCCTATCACAGGGCCAGCAACAGATACCATGGATGGAGCTCGTTCAACGTTGAACTGTCTACTGCTCTGACATCTACGCACCACTTGATAGAGTAAAACGCATAGTGCAAAACGAGTTCACGTCACCCCTTGACAAAACCGTTCCAACGATGTCTGCAAGGTTGCCTTTGGTCATCAACAAGATTAAACCACGGTGAATGGCATGAACGTGGTAATGCGGCTGAAGCTCGCAACAAGTTGTGTGTTGTATGGACGTATTTTCTTGAGATAGGGTCTGGTTGTGTCCGAGTAGAAAAGCAGCTTTCACCCCCGAACATGATGACAAAAAGTAATGCTTCTGGGGTAATGCACTGTCACGGCTGTCTTCATGCATCGATCTATCGGATGTATATCGGTTCCGGGTTTACGCCAAAAATACATGGATGCGTTACAGCGGTTGTAAGGCATGAGTGCAACGATGGCCTCAATAAGCGAGTGCACTGCGTTCTTTGAGGTAATGAAAGGTGAAGCACAAGGCTCAACATTCGCAGCTCAAGATTGTTTTCGCTGACAATTGTTTCGGTGTCAACATTTGTCATCAGCTGTTTTCGACCGCACGTTTACAATGGCGCAAGTAGAATCACCTGTGTGTGCTGAGCGTTTTCAGACATACAATGACACTAGTTCGCCAACCTTCCTATACATCGACCAAGAATCGACTACGTTGCACACACGTTCATTCAGTGCCGGAACGCATCGTAAAAGAGGAGGTTTCCGTGTCACCGTACTTGTTTTGTTGTTTTCACTCGACTGAATGATGCAGTGGAACGATTTCGAGAGCCTCGATGACCAAGACGAGCGCAGATCTCAGCTCTAGGGTGTGCACTATTTACTTCAAGAACCGCCGTGGGGTGATGATCCTATCTTCTACTACGCATTTGGCTTCCGAAATGCAAACATTTTACCTCTTTTCTTATGGTTCCGACCACCATTGGTCTCTCCCTCTCAAAATTTCTGGTGGTGAGAATCCCCTTCCTTCCTCGATAACGACCCGAGCCGCTTTGCTTGCGCTAGCACTAGAGACGAATCTGGGCTTTTTTTTTTTTTTTTTGGTTTAAGCAGGCGTGTTACTATTTTTCAAGTAGCGTCACTCGATCATTTTTTTGACAAAATGATTGGGGTGAACGGCTCTTCAGTCTGAGTGAACAGACTTCAGGAAACTGGCGGCGGTCTTCCACTTGCCAGTCCACAGGAAAGCATGGCTGGCACTCTCCTGGTTCAGGTTACATAGCACAGCCAAACACCGTTGTACCCCTTGAAGGCTGGCGGATTCTTCAAACATACGGAGGGAACCACGCCAATGAATCGTCCAGCTTGTACCGAGCGTCTTTTATCTTCTGCAAAGTCGGCGCATCGTAGGCTCTTTCGCCTCTCTTACAGCAGCCTCCATTCCGTTGACTTTAAACTAGCAGAATGACCGACCTAAAACCGTGCAAAAGGACTGAGCTATATACTAGTAGCACGCAAAAAGAGCGCACCACGATCGGCATATCCTTGCATCGAATTTTCATCTCGGCCAGCTTACACGCATGTGCTTACCGCCTACACGTATGTGGTCTGATACCATGTATCACCACTAGTAGCTCATAGCGACTGTTTCATCTACAACGTCCGGCCGAATGTTCGGATGAAAAGGCGCTGGAAATGCGAGCCGAGTCGCTTTCGAACAATTTGAATCAGCTGCTTCAGCTTCGAGTGTACGAGACCATGCGTAAAAGAAGCTACAGAACGGACCGTCATAACGAGAAGTCATATCGAAAGGTCAAGTATAGATTCGTCATTCGATGCTCTGTCCGTCACGAGCGAAAAGCCTGTATTGTCATGATGTCGCATCTCAACGTGCGTTGTTTGAGTGTCTTTGTGTCTCTTACTGTTGTCACAGTTGGTCATTTTACACTTGATTAACTATGTGCAAGATTAGTGCCATTGTCGCTCGACTTGGCAGTATACACCTGCGGCGCCCCATCCTTTCCGAGTGTACACACTCGATGGGATCCGTCCGCACGTGATCCGTTCGCACTGAAGTCCTGCAGCCTCCATGGTCCGGTCCATGTGTTTGTTCAGGTGGGGTGAGAATATGAAGAGTCCACAACTACACAGCCGTCCGTATGATCGATTGCGCGAGGTGAGACGATTCACGCTCGTTCCGCTTAGCTTCTGCCCGAGTCTGAACAGTACGTTCGTTGATGGCCGCAACAATGAGTGTATTCGGATGTTGACCGTGTTGATAAAACCGCAGGGGCGGGGGGCGATACGCCGCCGATCGGTCAAGGGGCGTGAGTAGCAAGGAAGACGTATGTATGACCAGATCACACAAACATCTGTCGAGCAAGTTGCAAGTCAAGTAGCTCCAAGTCTTGCATAGCGGTCCGCGAGCCCCACCACAGACTGCTCATTCTCGCATTTACCGCCTTGCGCTTCTGTTGTACTCGAGCCAAGTTCCCCATCTCAAGCTCTTTCTTTCCTCTGTTGACTCGGCCGAGCTTCCTCTGCATCTGAAACCCCCAACCATGTTCAGCAGCACCAAGATCTTCGCTTTGTACGCTGTCGCTATGGCCGTTTCCAACCGTGGCGCACATGCTGAAAAAGCAGTCGCCGAGACGTTTGGACTACTCGGTGGTCACGGTGTGGGTGTAGCCGTCCCGGGTGTTGCAAGCGTCGGTGTCGCAGCTCCCGGCTACGTAGGCGTGAATGGCCTTGGTGTTGGTGTCGGCTTGAATGGCCCCGGTGTCGGTGTCGGCTTAAATGGCCCCGGTGTCGGTGTCGGCTTAAACGGCGTTGGCCTCCGTGTCGGCCATGGCGGATACCCCCGATGGTGTCGGTTTGAACGGCGCTGGTGCTGACATCGGCGTCGGTACGGACGTTGGCATCGGTGCTGACGTTGGCGTCGGCGAGTATCCCGGTGGTGTCGTGTATCCGGGCACCGTCGATGTGACTGGCAACCCTACAGTCGGCGCTCATGATGTCAACGTGAAGACCGGCGGGGGCAACGGCGGCTCGAGCGAGACTGTGACTGTGACGAACGGCGATGGCACCAGTACCGGAACGGCCTCCACTAGCACGGGTGCAGGTGGCGCATCGACGAGTGCTTCTGCGAGCGCTTCTGCAACTGCCACTGCCAGTGCAACTGCTGGGGCGAAGACCGGGACAAGCGACACTTCTCAGAACGTGTACCGCAAGCTTCGCTTGGAGAAGTGAACGGGTTCGGTGGATCCGGACAAATTGTAGAGTTCGACGGAAGCAAGATGGAGCTGCTCGGTCATTTGCTGCACTCCGTTGGTTCTCCAAGATCCTAGAAGGTGCTATATGTAGTAACGTAACATCGTTCGTGAGTAGAAAAAAAGTCGTTCCCAAACACAAATGCTCTTTTCAAACAAAAATACCAGGTGTTGCTTGGCGATGGATCTGTTCATAGCTCGTGATCTGCCCTCTGATGCATCCTTTGATCTCTACCGCCTGATGCGTCCTTTGACTCAGGAAGTCTGTGCTGTCTTCTCCATCTACGGCTCTTCTCGACAACTGCAAATGAGCATCCGGCCATTCATAGACCAACTGTCAAATAGTCACGAAGTGCAAGAAAACATGGGCGTCTCCATTTTCGATGCAACAGTACAGAGCTCTGGTCTCTGCAACCAACACTCCTTCTCGCAATCATTGGAGCTGCTGCAGGTGTGTGTGTGTCGAAATGGAACTGAGCCCTATCACAGGGCCAGCAACAGATATCATGGATGAAGCTCGTTCAACGTTGAACTGTCTACTGCTCTGACATCTACGCACCACTTGATAGAGTAAAACGCATAGTGCAAAACGAGTTCACGTCACCCCTTCACAAAACCGTTCCAACGATGTCTGCAAGGTTGCCTTTGGTCATCAACAAGATTAAACCACGGTGAATGGCATGAACGTGGTAATGCGGCTGAAGCTCGCAACAAGTTGTGTGTTGTATGGACGTATTTTCTTGAGATAGGGTCTGGTTGTGTCCGAGTAGAAAAGCAGCTTTCACCCCCGAACATGATGACAAAAAGTAATGCTTCTGGGGTAATGCACTGTCACGGCTGTCTTCATGCATCGATCTATCGGATGTATATCGGTTCCGGGTTTACGCCAAAAATACATGGATGCGTTACAGCGGTTGTACGGCATGAGTGCAACGATGGCCTCAATAAGCGAGTGCACTGCGTTCTTTGAGGAATGAGAGGTAATGAGTGCAACGATGGCCTCAATAAGCGAGTGCACTGCGTTCTTTGAGGAATGAGAGGTGAAGCACAAGGCTCAATATTCGCAGCTCAAGAACGTTTTCGCTGACAATTGTTTCGGTGTCAACCTTTGTCATCAGCTGTTTTCGACCGCACGTTTACAACGGCGCAAGTAGAATCACCTGTGTGTGCTGAGCATTTTCAGACATACAATGACACTAGTTCGCCAACCTTCCTATACATCGACCAAGAATCGACTACGTTGCACACACGTTCATTCAGTGCCGGAACGCATCGTAAAAGAGGAGGTTTCCGTGTCACCGTACTTGTTTTGTTGTTTTCACTCGGCTGGATGATGCAGTGGAACAATTTCGAGAGCCTCGATGACCAAGACGAGCGCAGATCTCAGCTCTAGGGGTGTGCACTATTTACTTCGAGAACCGCCGTGGGGTGATGGTCCTATCTTCTACTACGCATTTGGCTTCCGAAATGCAACATGTGGCCTGCTGTCATAGTGATACGTACAGCATTGGTCTTCCTACCTATAAGATCTGTGCTGGTGCAAGAAACCAGGTCCTTCCGCGATAACAACGGAACCACGTTGGATGCGCTAGCAGTAGTGCGACATAAGCAGGCGTGTTACTATGTTTCAAGCAGCGTCACTCGATCATTTTTTTGACAAAATGATTGGGGTGAACGGCTCTTCAGTCTGAGTGAACAGACTTCAGGAAACTGGCGGCGGTCTTCCACTTGCCAGTCCACAGGAAAGCATGGCTGGCACTCTCCTGGTTCAGGTTACATTGCACAGCCAAATACCGTTGTACCCTTGAAGGCTGGCGGATTCTTCAAACATACGGAGGGAACCACGCCAATGAATCGTCCAGCTTGTACCGAGCGTCTTTTATCTTCTGCAAAGTCGGCGCATCGTAGGCTCTTTCGCCTCTCTTACAGCAGCCTCCATTCCATTGACTTTAAACTAGCAGAATGACCGACCTAAAACCGTGCAAAAGGACTGAGCTATATACTAGTAGCACGCAAAAAGAGCGCACCACGATCGGCATATCCTTGCATCGAATTTTCATCTCGGCCAGCTTACACGCATGTGCTTACCGCCTACACGTATGTGGTCTGATACCATGTATCACCACTAGTAGCTCATAGCGACTGTTTCATCTACAACGTCCGGCCGAATGTTCGGATGAAAAGGCGCTGGAAATGCGAGCCGAGTCGCTTTCGAACAATTTGAATCAGCTGCTTCAGCTTCGAGTGTACGAGACCATGTGTAAAAGAAGCTACAGAACGGACCGTCATAACGAGAAGTCATACCGAAAGGTCAAGTATAGATTTGTCATTTGATGCTCTGTCTGTCACCGAGCGAAAAGCCTGTATTGTCATGACGTCGCATCTCAACGTGCGTTGTTTGAGTGTCTTTGTATCTCTTACTGTTGTCACAGTTGGTCATTTTACACTTGATTAACTATGTACAAGATTAGTGCCATTGTCGCTCGACTTGGCAGTATATACACCTGCAGCGCCCCATCCTTTCCGAGTGTACACACTCGATGGGATCCGTCCGCACGTGATCCGTTCGCACTGAAGTCCTGCAGCCTCCAAGGTCCGGTCCATGTGTTTGTTCAGGTGGTGAGAATATGAAGAGTCCACAACTACACAGCCGTCCGTATGATCGATTGCGCGAGGTGAGACGATTCACGCTCGTTCCGCTTAGCTTCTGCCCGAGTCTGAACAGTACGTTCGTTGATGGCCGCAACAATGAGTGTATTCGGATGTTGACCGTGTTGATAAAACCGCAGGGGCGGGGGCGATACGCCGCCGATCGGTCAAGGGGCGTGAGTAGCAAGGAAGACGTATGTATGACCAGATCACACAAACATCTGTCGAGCAAGTTGCAAGTCAAGTAGCTCCAAGTCTTGCATAGCGGTCCGCGAGCCCCACCACAGACTGCTCATTCTCGCATTTACCGCCTTGCGCTTCTGTTGTACTCGAGCCAAGTTCCCCATCTCAAGCTCTTTCTTTCCTCTGTTGACTCGGCCGAGCTTCCTCTGCATCTGAAACCCCCAACCATGTTCAGCAGCACCAAGATCTTCGCTTTGTACGCTGTCGCTATGGCCGTTTCCAACCGTGGCGCACATGCTGAAAAAGCAGTCGCCGAGACGTTTGGACTACTCGGTGGTCACGGTGTGGGTGTAGCCGTCCCGGGTGTTGCAAGCGTCGGTGTCGCAGCTCCCGGCTACGTAGGCGTGAATGGCCTTGGTGTTGGTGTCGGCTTGAATGGCCCCGGTGTCGGTGTCGGCTTAAATGGCCCCGGTGTCGGTGTCGGCTTAAACGGCGTTGGCCTCCGTGTCGGCCATGGCGGATACCCCGATGGTGTCGGTTTGAACGGCGCTGGTGCTGACATCGGCGTTGGTGCGGACGTTGGCGTTGATGCTGACGTTGGCGTCGGCGGGTATCCCGGTGGTGTCGTGTATCCGGGCACCGTCGATGTGACTGGCAACCCTACAGTCGGCGCTCATGATGTCAACGTGAAGACCGGCGGGGGGCAACGGCGGCTCGAGCGAGACTGTGACTGTGACGAACGGCGATGGCACCAGTACCGGAACGGCCTCCACTAGCACGGGTGCAGGTGGCGCATCGACGAGTGCTTCTGCGAGCGCTTCTGCAACTGCCACTGCCAGTGCAACTGCTGGGGCGAAGACCGGGACAAGCGACACTTCTCAGAACGTGTACCGCAAGCTTCGCTTGGAGAAGTGAACGGGTTCGGTGGATCCGGACAAATTGTAGAGTTCGACGGAAGCAAGATGGAGCTGCTCGGTCATTTGCTGCACTCCGTCGGTTCTCCAAGATCCTAGAAGGTGCTATATGTAGTAACGTAACATCGTTCGTGAGTGGAAAAAAAGTCGTTCCCAAACACAAATGCTCTTTTCAAACAAAAATACCAGGTGTTGCTTGGCGATGGATCTGTTCATAGCTCGTGATCTGCCCTCTGATGCATCCTTTGATCCACCGCCTGATGCATCCTTTGACTCAGGAAGTCTGTGCTGTCTTCTCCATCTACGGCTCTTCTCGACAACTGCAAATGAGCATCCGGCCATTCATAGACCAACTGTCAAATAGTCACGAAGTGCAAGAAAACATGGGCGTCTCCATTTTCGATGCAACAGTACAGAGCTCTGGTCTCTGCAACCAACACTCCTTCTCGCAATCATTGGAGCTGCTGCAGGTGTGTGTGTGTCGAAATGGAACTGAGCCCTATCACAGGGCCAGCAACAGATATCATGGATGAAGCTCGTTCAACGTTGAACTGTCTACTGCTCTGACATCTACGCACCACTTGATAGAGTAAAACGCATAGTGCAAAACGAGTTCACGTCACCCCTTCACAAAACCGTTCCAACGATGTCTGCAAGGTTGCCTTTGGTCATCAACAAGATTAAACCACGGTGAATGGCATGAACGTGGTAATGCGGCTGAAGCTCGCAACAAGTTGTGTGTTGTATGGACGTATTTTCTTGAGATAGGGTCTGGTTGTGTCCGAGTAGAAAAGCAGCTTTCACCCCCGAACATGATGACAAAAAGTAATGCTTCTGGGGTAATGCACTGTCACGGCTGTCTTCATGCATCGATCTATCGGATGTATATCGGTTCCGGGTTTACGCCAAAAATACATGGATGCGTTACAGCGGTTGTAAGGCATGAGTGCAACGATGGCCTCAATAAGCGAGTGCACTGCGTTCTTTGAGGTAATGAAAGGTGAAGCACAAGGCTCAACATTCGCAGCTCAAGATTGTTTTCGCTGACAATTGTTTCGGTGTCAACCTTTGTCATCAGCTGTTTTCGACCGCACGTTTACAACGGCGCAAGTAGAATCACCTGTGTGTGCTGAGCGTTTTCAGACATACAATGACACTAGTTCGCCAACCTTCCTATACATCGACCAAGAATCGACTACGTTGCACACACGTTCATTCAGTGCCGGAACGCATCGTAAAAGAGGAGGTTTCCGTGTCACCGTACTTGTTTTGTTGTTTTCACTCGGCTGGATGATGCAGTGGAACAATTTCGAGAGCCTCGATGACCAAGACGAGCGCAGATCTCAGCTCTAGGGGTGTGCACTATTTACTTCGAGAACCGCCGTGGGGTGATGGTCCTATCTTCTACTACGCATTTGGCTTCCGAAATGCAACATGTGGCCTGCTGTCATAGTGATACGTACAGCATTGGTCTTCCTACCTATAAGATCTGTGCTGGTGCAAGAAACCAGGTCCTTCCGCGATAACAACGGAACCACGTTGGATGCGCTAGCAGTAGTGCGACATAAGCAGGCGTGTTACTATGTTTCAAGCAGCGTCACTCGATCATTTTTTGACAAAATGATTGGGGTGAACGGCTCTTCAGTCTGAGTGAACAGACTTCAGGAAACTGGCGGCGGTCTTCCACTTGCCAGTCCACAGGAAAGCATGGCTGGCACTCTCCTGGTTCAGGTTACATTACACAGCCAAACACCGTTGTACCCTTGAAGGCTGGCGGATTCTTCAAACATACGGAGGGAACCACGCCAATGAATCGTCCAGCTTGTACCGAGCGTCTTTTATCTTCTGCAAAGTCGGCGCATCGTAGGCTCTTTCGCCTCTCTTACAGCAGCCTCCATTCCATTGACTTTAAACTAGCAGAATGACCGACCTAAAACCGTGCAAAAGGACTGAGCTATATACTAGTAGCACGCAAAAAGAGCGCACCACGATCGGCATATCCTTGCATCGAATTTTCATCTCGGCCAGCTTACACGCATGTGCTTACCGCCTACACGTATGTGGTCTGATACCATGTATCACCACTAGTAGCTCATAGCGACTGTTTCATCTACAACGTCCGGCCGAATGTTCGGATGAAAAGGCGCTGGAAATGCGAGCCGAGTCGCTTTCGAACAATTTGAATCAGCTGCTTCAGCTTCGAGTGTACGAGACCATGTGTAAAAGAAGCTACAGAACGGACCGTCATAACGAGAAGTCATACCGAAAGGTCAAGTATAGATTTGTCATTTGATGCTCTGTCTGTCACCGAGCGAAAAGCCTGTATTGTCATGACGTCGCATCTCAACGTGCGTTGTTTGAGTGTCTTTGTATCTCTTACTGTTGTCACAGTTGGTCATTTTACACTTGATTAACTATGTACAAGATTAGTGCCATTGTCGCTCGACTTGGCAGTATATACACCTGCAGCGCCCCATCCTTTCCGAGTGTACACACTCGATGGGATCCGTCCGCACGTGATCCGTTCGCACTGAAGTCCTGCAGCCTCCAAGGTCCGGTCCATGTGTTTGTTCAGGTGGTGAGAATATGAAGAGTCCACAACTACACAGCCGTCCGTATGATCGATTGCGCGAGGTGAGACGATTCACGCTCGTTCCGCTTAGCTTCTGCCCGAGTCTGAACAGTACGTTCGTTGATGGCCGCAACAATGAGTGTATTCGGATGTTGACCGTGTTGATAAAACCGCAGGGGCGGGGGCGATACGCCGCCGATCGGTCAAGGGGCGTGAGTAGCAAGGAAGACGTATGTATGACCAGATCACACAAACATCTGTCGAGCAAGTTGCAAGTCAAGTAGCTCCAAGTCTTGCATAGCGGTCCGCGAGCCCCACCACAGACTGCTCATTCTCGCATTTACCGCCTTGCGCTTCTGTTGTACTCGAGCCAAGTTCCCCATCTCAAGCTCTTTCTTTCCTCTGTTGACTCGGCCGAGCTTCCTCTGCATCTGAAACCCCCAACCATGTTCAGCAGCACCAAGATCTTCGCTTTGTACGCTGTCGCTATGGCCGTTTCCAACCGTGGCGCACATGCTGAAAAAGCAGTCGCCGAGACGTTTGGACTACTCGGTGGTCACGGTGTGGGTGTAGCCGTCCCGGGTGTTGCAAGCGTCGGTGTCGCAGCTCCCGGCTACGTAGGCGTGAATGGCCTTGGTGTTGGTGTCGGCTTGAATGGCCCCGGTGTCGGTGTCGGCTTAAATGGCCCCGGTGTCGGTGTCGGCTTAAACGGCGTTGGCCTCCGTGTCGGCCATGGCGGATACCCCGATGGTGTCGGTTTGAACGGCGCTGGTGCTGACATCGGCGTCGGTACGGACGTTGGCATCGGTGCTGACGTTGGCGTCGGCGAGTATCCCGGTGGTGTCGTGTATCCGGGCACCGTCGATGTGACTGGCAACCCTACAGTCGGCGCTCATGATGTCAACGTGAAGACCGGCGGGGGCAACGGCGGCTCGAGCGAGACTGTGACTGTGACGAACGGCGATGGCACCAGTACCGGAACGGCCTCCACTAGCACGGGTGCAGGTGGCGCATCGACGAGTGCTTCTGCGAGCGCTTCTGCAACTGCCACTGCCAGTGCAACTGCTGGGGCGAAGACCGGGACAAGCGACACTTCTCAGAACGTGTACCGCAAGCTTCGCTTGGAGAAGTGAACGGGTTCGGTGGATCCGGACAAATTGTAGAGTTCGACGGAAGCAAGATGGAGCTGCTCGGTCATTTGCTGCACTCCGTCGGTTCTCCAAGATCCTAGAAGGTGCTATATGTAGTAACGTAACATCGTTCGTGAGTGGAAAAAAAGTCGTTCCCAAACACAAATGCTCTTTTCAAACAAAAATACCAGGTGTTGCTTGGCGATGGATCTGTTCATAGCTCGTGATCTGCCCTCTGATGCATCCTTTGATCCACCGCCTGATGCATCCTTTGACTCAGGAAGTCTGTGCTGTCTTCTCCATCTACGGTTCTTCTCGACAACTGCAAATGAGCATCCGGCCATTCATAGACCAACTGTCAAATAGTCACGACGTGCAAGAAAACATGGGCGTCTCCATTTTCGATGCAACAGTACAGAGCTCTGGTCTCTGCAACCAACACTCCTTCTCGCAATCATTGGAGCTGCTGCAGGTGTGTGTGTGTCGAAATGGAACTGAGCCCTATCACAGGGCCAGCAACAGATATCATGGATGAAGCTCGTTCAACGTTGAACTGTCTACTGCTCTGACATCTACGCACCACTTGATAGAGTAAAACGCATAGTGCAAAACGAGTTCACGTCACCCCTTCACAAAACCATTCCAACGATGTCTGCAAGGTTGCCTTTGGTCATCAACAAGATTAAACCACGGTGAATGGCATGAACGTGGTAATGCGGCTGAAGCTCGCAACAAGTTGTGTGTTGTATGGACGTATTTTCTTGAGATAGGGTCTGGTTGTGTCCGAGTAGAAAAGCAGCTTTCACCCCCGAACATGATGACAAAAAGTAATGCTTCTGGGGTAATGCACTGTCACGGCTGTCTTCATGCATCGATCTATCGGATGTATATCGGTTCCGGGTTTACGCCAAAAATACATGGATGCGTTACAGCGGTTGTAAGGCATGAGTGCAACGATGACCTCAATAAGCGAGTGCACTGCGTTCTTTGAGGTAATGAAAGGTGAACACAAGGCTCAACATTCGCAGCTCAAGATTGTTTTCGCTGACAATTGTTTCGGTGTCAACATTTGTCATCAGCTGTTTTCGACCGCACGTTTACAACGGCGCAAGTAGAATCACCTGTGTGTGCTGAGCGTTTTCAGACATACAATGACACTA